ATTTGTGTGTTGTCTGATGTCGATCGGTCAAGTTCAGAATTTCAATACCCGACAGTAAAGTTTGAATGACGTTAGAAGCGGATAGAGGCCTGGGAGGGACGAGCTCCATTAGTTTCTTTTCCCTCCCTGTAGAGAGTCGTCTCTATCTCGGGGATTTGCCTTAAACCTGCATAGGGACTACACCTTTGTGTACACATTGAAAAAGTGTCCTCTATTCAGCGTCCCTTTATTCGTATGTAGTATAATACCTAATATATCAGAACAAGTGTCCTTAGATGTGTTCGTTTTTCGGAGATTAATTTTCGGAGGCACACTGTACTGTAACTCCCATATGCTCTTTGAGTTGTGTTTAAAAACATTTTGGCATTGTATGGCACCATGAATGACTTGTTGTATGTGCAAAAAATTAAATTGGCGATTGTATTTGTTTGTTTTCGTTTTCTTCGTGCTTGCGCAAGGATCAAGACCTCTTTTGGATGATGAGCTGGTCAAATTGGTGACCAACTGCGTGAGACTCACTCTTTAATGGGGTGGGGGTTGGTATTTATTGAGAGAAAAATCGTTTATGGGATGTTCCCTGTGTAGTGTAAACTTGCTGTTTTGGCCTTTTTTTTCCTGGTGGGAATGTACTTTATGGTAGGAGCTATGTCGGGGAGTCCAGGGGTGTGTACACGGTGCATCAGTCTCTCCTTCGCCCTCTCCCTCCACACTCTCACCTCCTCCAGGATCCAGCCAACATACCTGAATGCCATCAACATTGTATTACCCCTCTTTTGTAGTGTCACAAGTGATTTGATATGTGTAATGTGACAAAAGCGTCATGAGTGAAGAGTTCTGACGGTAGATAGAAAATAGTGTATATCTTGCTCACTATTTTGACTTTCAGTGATTTCCCTTTTCAACAAGCAACTGTGAGGGGTGGTGACGTTTAAACTAATATTGTTTTGAGTCACCTGATTGGTTTGAGAGCAGTGGCCCAACATGAGTGGAGTGCAGCTGGACCCAGTGATCCGGTCTTGACGATCATAACCAGCTCACCTGTACAGTGTTAAAATTACAGCAGGTATCTTGTTGTAGTGTTAAAGAGGTTTATGTTCTGAGGTGACACCCTACTAATCGAATTGTGGCAATTTAAACCGTGACGAAGTCTGCGGTGCACACTGTACATTTTATAGTTGTGCTGTTGTCGTGCTAGCGTCAGCAAAAATTAGTTGTATATTTTGTTTTACAGTGATGTTTTTTTGTAACCTTCTTAGCCATTAAACTGGACGAACAATCTTCAAGCATTCTTTCTTTCCTTGTATGTATTGTACACATATTTTTTTTTAACCTGTTGCATTGCTTGACCTTCCCCTTTAAAAGTGTACCCACGCACACCTCCAGTAGTCGTGGAGCGACCCCGTACAACGATTCCCCGGCACTCCCAAACAATCCAACAGGTTGTTCGCACTAATCTGACCAATCTCGTAGTCCTCAAACCCACCAAAACACCTTTCACCTCCTCTATACCAATCTAAGAAAATGTTTTTCCAAAACAATCAGGTTTTGCAGGGATATCATTTCAATGTTTACATACACACTATATATGTGATACCTTCATTATCTTTTTGGCTATTAAGCGTGGAATTGATATTCTCCATGGCAACAGCCCCGCCCTGTCTGTAAAGTGTCGGAAGCAACAACTAGGTTGTCATGACATAGGTGTGACGGGGGTTGTGTCTGAGACGGCAGTGTCTGACAAATCAACACATCAAAACGAGAACAAAAAACCGAAACAAACCAACAACCCCCGCGACCCCCCACCTCCGCACCCCACCACGCGCCGACCACCCCCCACCCTTCCCACGTCGAACAACAACGACCCAAACGAACCCCTCACCCAGCCCCACCCCCCCCCCACACCCCCCCCCCTCCCACATAACGCCTCCCTACCAGCCAGGCGCAAGCCCGCCGCACCCCCCGTCCACCACCCCCCCCGCAGACCCAAGCGGCTGGACCCTCCCCCTCCCCCACCCGCCACAGAACGGAGGGAGAGGGCCGCCCCCGCGTCCGCCAGCCCCCGCCCCCGGCCCGAGGACGCAACAAGAGCAGCAGCTCTCCGACCTGACAATATATAAGACATGTATATATATCTCAAAAATTGTCCAAACAGAGCTATTGTTTGCTCAAATGAGTTTTATGTCAATGAAAATTTTTATACAGGTCCTCAAAAGGTTTCTGCTTGAACATACAGAAATTATTTTTATTTATGCACTAACTCAGTATAGAGTTCACCCAGTTTTAGTGGTGCCAGTCGTGACACAATCTGGCCCACCCATCTGCAGTATTTGTTTCCATTGCAACCTGAGGCTCCGGCCCCCTCCAGGATGTATCGTACGGAGAGAGAAGAGTGGGCATAGTCGAGCAACCGTCCGAATGGAGCTATCACTTTTGCCTGCCACAAGACCTTTGATAGGTTGATGATTTGGTGGCGGGTTTTTTCTAGAGAGGTCACGTGATGGGTGTGCCTCCGGGGTCATATGTCCGGTGGGATGTGGAGGGCATACAGATGATGATGTAGATGGGACAGAACATAAGAAATTGAGATGGAGAGGAGTGATTGTGCGTCTCAAGAGTATATTTTTACTCCATATTAGTTATTGTTGTCTAATACTTCTATACAATAAGGTATTAGACATGGCGATTGCCAAGAGAAAAAATATGCGGAGCTTGGACGCTGGTTTTTGCCCGCATCCCGAGCATACCGCACTTCTCTCTCTGGCATCACAGTTTAAAGGCTACCATGAGCGCGACATTGCGGTTTCTGACTAATGGGATTTCATATCTACAAGGCTTTGACTGTATGTGCTGGCTGCCATGCCAGAACATTCGTGGTTTTGGGAGCTAGGCCCCTCCCCACTCCTGCTGGTCAAGCCAGGCACCGGCCAAAACCCGAACTCGCAATCTGGCATGCGGATTGGGCCACACAACACGATACTTGAATTTAGAATTTTGCCCCAAGAAAAAAGTCATCACTGCAACAGTTTTTTTGTCGATCAACAGTGGAATTTTCTAAAGAAGGTCATGCTGCGACTAATATGAAACAATTTCATAAATGCAGTGTCCTTGATTCACACTTATATGAGGTATGCAACTTTCTAAAGCCACCAATTAATCACACTCAGAAAGCATGCCGAGACTCTTTTATCCTTCTTCCACTCTGAAAAAAAATCAGTATGCAACAATCCTGAAACAAATCTGTTTGGATTCTCAAGGAAATCGTGGTACTCGACAGCAGTTGGAAGTGTATGCTCACATTTTCCTATGTCAAGTGTGATGGGGAAGAGTTTTCTTCCATTCTTCCACCTCACCACTTGTCCAAAGAGAGAAAGAGAGTGAGAGAAGTGGAGGTAGTGGAGACTGCCCTCATTGTAGTAACCTCCAGGAGAGGAAGAGAGGGAGTAAATCAATACTCTGAGACTAGGACACTGGCATGATGGCAAGTCAAATGGACCTCATAGTTATTGTAATCATTGCAGTTTAGCGGGCTGCAGGTTAACATACAAGGATCACATTCTTTATGTATGTACACAATTCCAGAAGATTCTTTACCTCATACTGATGTAATACAAGAGGAATATAATATCAGCCAACCTGTGCTGGGTTTTAGATGGTTTTGCTTGTCACCTCGCAGTCTAGAGGACATCAGACAACGTACTGCATCCTCCAACTACAGAGACGTATGTAGAACCACACTTAATAAACACCAACATTATTGTGTGAAGTTAAGTAGGAAGGAATTGCTAGTAAGTATGCCCCCTCTCCCTCACCAGTCCAGGTCTCTCTCTCATCACCTCCACTACCACACTGCGACTGAACTCTCCATGCTGTGTGTGGAATACAATCAAGGGCTGAACACGTGCCTAACCCACAATCACCAGCCACACACTAGATTAACTAGATTACAAACTAAAGGATTTGCACTTCTCGGGTCCCCATTTTAAAGGCAATGTGCAATATAATAAGGGCTAAATGTTACTAAAAAGTTAAATGCATTCTTGTTTCCTTATATCTTTAGTAGCATTTCTAAATTTAGCCCTTACTTACTGACACATTCTCTTTAACTTATATTCCCTTGGAACAAGGAGCAGCCTCATGTGTGGACCCTCCCACCTCCACTGTCCCATGGCTCACAGTCCAGTCCCTGGCCCACTGAGCTGTTGGGTCCAACAGACTGAGGTAGTGGATAGGACGCAGCTGGCCGAGTGTGTCGTTGCCTAGCGACAGAAGGTCAAAGGTGGCCCTAACAATGTCCTCCACAGTCCTGTGTCCAAACCTGATCCAGTACGACACCACGTCTCTCTGAAACCTGTTCAACAGGTTCATCTGGCCGGGGGAATTGGTAGTGTAGATATTTAGTCTGCTCTGGTAATTGTGAGAGCTAACTTTTAGTCCTCGAAAGTTTTCGCGTGATATAATAAAACCGAATTTTGAGGAAGATGCTTTATATAGAGCGTCTATAATGCTCTAGACACTCACTCTCTGGATAACTGTCAGTGAGCGATCATCTGCAGGGTCTATTCCCATTGCCATGGTAACAGCCACACCCTCTTTCCCGAGGAAGAAGGCGGAGAGATTGTGGGAGAGTGAGAGGAGTGCCTCCAGTGAGGAGGTGGGGGAGTGGGAGGAGAGGAGGTGACAGTGGAGAGTCAGACTCATCCCCTGTGGGTGTGGTTACACGATGGTAACATGAATATGGGGAGGTGCCTCTCCTCACAGCAAGGCGGGGGTCAGAGTCCATCAGAGTCCCCGACAGCACTGGCTTCAGCTGACTCCATGTATCCATGGCAACCAGGTCTCCAATAGGGAACTGTAGTAGGTGGTGCATGGCCTCAATCCTCACCTGACAATAATGAGAGGAGACGAGACACCAAATAATGAGAGGAGACGAGACACCAAATAACGAGAGGAGACGAGACACCAAATAACGGAGAGGAGACGAGACACCAAATAATCGAGAGGAGACGAGACACCAAATAATGAGAGGAGACGAGACACCAAATAATGAGAGGAGACGAGACACCAAATAATGAGAGGAGATGAGACACCAAACAATGAGAGGAGACGAGACACCAAATAATGAGAGGAGATGAGACACCAAAATAACGAGAGGAGACGAGACACCAAATAATGAGAGGAGACGAGACACCAAATAACCAGAGGAGACGAGACACCAAATAACGAGAGGAGACGAGACACCAAATAATGAGAGGAGACGAGACACCAAATAATGAGAGGAGATGAGACATCAAAATAACGAGAGGAGACGAGACACCAAATAATGAGAGGAGATGAGACACCAAATAATGAGAGGAGACGAGACACCAAATAATGAGAGGAGACGAGACACACCAAATAATGAGAGGAGACGACACACCAAATAATGAGAGGAGACGAGATACCAAATAATGAGAGGAGACGAGACGCCAAATTATGAGAGGAGGCGAGACACCAAATCATGAGAGGAGACGAGACACCAAATAATGAGAGGAGACGAGACACCAAAATAATGAAAAGCACTAAAGTGCAAACCCTCAGCAAACTGCGCATGCCACTATGGGCTTTTTTATGCCTCTGACTCCACTACATATGTAGTAGCTCGCGGAGAGTGTGGCACGGGCTAGCTACAGCATGCGGGAGTCGATACATGCCCTTCGTTGTGACTTCTTGTGCCTTCAAGATACACAGAGCGAGCGGACGCGGTCGAGGTAAGCCTGTGCTAATTTGCATATTAGCTTGTTCACTTGCTTTTCACGCCACATTCTAAACACAGTATATAGTTACACGAAAATCGGCCTTTATAAAAATGAAGCCAGTGTAGTGATGAACCCATTGGTATCACTGTTTTGTGTCTCGTTGGCTAGTCGCAGAAAACGTGGTAACAGACAGACAGACAGACAGACCGACAGACACACTTACAAACCAAGTACCGTAACCCTCGCTGCGCATGAGTGCTTAGGTCTAATGAGAGGAGACGAGACACTAAATAATGAGAAGAAATGAGACACTAAATAATGAGAAGAAATGCGACACCAATAATGAGAGGAGACGAGACACCGATAATACACTACACAGAGGCCACTGCAGACGTCTGAGAATAATCAACCGTACACTACAACTCTCCCTCCCTCTGTCTCTCCCCACACACCTCCCGAAAGTGCCTATGTACAAGACTAGTGAGAATGCAGTGGTCCATATTACTGTTCTACACCATAAAAACCTACATAGATAACTCTGCACTCTATATTATGCCAGTAGCACAGATATGTACAATTCAGAACTGCTATTCGGCATTATACAGTGTATAATATACTACAACAACCAACTCATTCCCTAGCTGAATTCCCTGAACCTGAGTAGGCAGAGAGGGAGCGAGGTCAGCGGCTATGGCCACCAGCTGGTCTGTGGACCAGAGAGCTGTCTGGCCCAGCATCTGGGAGAGGTCAGAGTTCAGAGAGCTGTCCAGACTGAAGTATTGAGTGGTCTGAGAGAGGGAGGAGTGAGGGGCGGGGCTTAGCAGCTGGTGGGTGGAGTCATCTAACTACAAAGGAGGAAGATGGAGGTGACATGGCACTCCCTCCAGGTTTGCAATGCAGGTCGCAGACTATAAACGTGGACATAGTGTATTATGTGCCAATAATTATGAGCTCAACCAACATATTACTGACCAATTCTTGCACAGTCTCCTTGAGAGCTGAGGTAAATGATTGACAGATCTGTTTATACCTGCATCAAGTAGTGTCAGATTGTGTTTCATCAACATATGTACAGTGGTATCGTACTGGTTAGACTCCAGAATGTCTTCGGTGATGACAGCAGCAGTATAGTGGAAGTTCTCTCTCTCCAGCCTGGCTCCACCCACCCTCCTGGTCACCATGGGAGACAGGTGGGAGGAGATAAGGGACTGGAGCTGTCTCACCAGCTCATAACTGCAGAGAAGGAGAAGGAGGGGGAGGAGAGAATAATCGCAGTTGAAGGCAGTAAAAGCAACAAAAATATCCATAGCGGCAGGTTTTGCAGAAGAAAGCTATATTATTTTGGTGATGTATGTAGCTATACCAGTAGAAGCTGTTGTCCAGAAGTGGTAGCTGAGTCAAGACCTCCTCACAAGACCGCTGTCTCTGAGTCCCCAGGTGGCCCATGGCGGCTCCCACCACCTCTCTCACTGCAAACTTTAGCTCTCGACTGGCCGCTTCTCCTGCCTCCATGGAGGTTGTGGCCCGCGTCTCAGCGTGAGACATTGTTATTCTGCAAGTCATGCCCCCCACCCCTTGTGCTTAGCGCGCATGGGTAATATACCTCTCGAAACCGACCGCCCTTCAGCCTCCTCGATCCTCGCAGCGCAGCGCAGCATGCAGGCGCGAGGCAAAATATACGCGTGCGCATTCCTAGTTTATACCGTGCGCGTGATGACGGCGCGTTATTTGGAACCGTCCAGCTATGTAGCTATAATAATTATTAATTTTATAGCCTCCAAGCTATGTAGCCGCTGCCGTTTAGAAGACATTGTTACGTCCAGCTAAGGCCCAGTCGATATGTCCGGAGACGACCAAGAGTTCAGCTATAAGGATGTGACGCTCTATAAGGAGCAGATACTGGGGACGGGATCGTACGGCACCGTGTGCGTGGCCAAATGCGATCAGCTGGTGTGCGCCGCCAAGGTCATGCACAGCACCCTATTCGAACTCCACGAGCCTTCCTCGGACCTCCTGCTCACAAAATATCGGCGGGAGTTGCGCCACAAAAGCGCCGCCAAGCACCCCAACATCGTGCAGTACATTCACATCTCTCAAGACCCGGACACCCTATTGCCCGCCTTTCTCATGGAGCTGTGCGACGAGAACCTCACCCAATTCCTGGAGCGATCCACCGGCCCCCTCCCCTACTACTTAGAGGTGGATCTCAGCAACGACATCGCGCAGGCCCTCAGCTACCTGCACACAAACGACGTCATTCACGGGGGTCTAACAAGCAACAACGTCCTGCTGATCGCTGGGTGCCGTGCAAAAGTGTCAGATTTCGGCATGTCCAAGCTCGTCAGCATCAACTCTAACTCCTCGTCACTCAGTATGTGCCCGGGGAACTTGGTGTACATGTCGCCCGAGGCCCTCCGCCAGCCACCGCATTACAGCTCCAAGATGGACATCTTTTCGTGGGGCGTGCTAGCTATCCAGATTATGACGCGGCTCTTTCCAGACCCTGGGCCCCCATTGGGGGAGAGCGAAGGTATGATATTACAGGTGATTCCTGAATACGAACGGAGGAAGTCGCAAATTGACTTGGTTGATCCGAGCCACCCATTGCTGGTACTTGCCATAATGTGCATCCACTCCAGCAGGAGGAGGCAACTGACTGCTGATGACTTGTGTGTGCAGATGGTCAAGCTCACGCAGTCGTCAGCTTACACTCACAGCAAGCAGAAGCCGGTAACTCAGCCCCAGAGGGAGTTTGCCCGGAGAGACACACAGCCAGAGTTGGAAGAACTTCAGCTAGAACTGCAGCAGATGAGCTGCGAGCTGAGTGCGAGAGTTGAAGAAATGGAATGGGTAGGTATTTAAGCACTCACATTACCTACTCAATCTTTGCAAATCACACATGCAATCGTTTCCCGATCATCTAGGGCCTAAAGTTGATCCAGTCATAGACACATTAAGTTTGACAAGGCATGGCCTTCCTTACAACCATCCCACTGGAGCCATAACAGTCTAGTTCTTATTCTATAGCTAGAAGTTCTGTGAATCACTTGTGCTTTTTTGTGTGTGGCTTAACCGATCTATTGGTACTGACACATTTATTATAGTGCTCTGGCAAAATGTGTACCGATGCTGAACCAGCATAATATGTCATATACAGTAGGTAGGAAGCATGCAGATTCATGTACTTACATACCTGCTCGTACGTATATAGCACATTTTTTACCTCCTGATTATAGATGAACAAGGCACTGGTGGCCAAAGAGATGGAGATAGCTGAGCTTCAGGAGTTCCGGATGGCAAATGTGAGTCAGGGGAATCATGTAGGCATATTATTAACCCTCGGCGCGCATGCGGCAGAGACTCATACGAGAGAGATCCAGGAAGTGAGAAAGAAAGTTTGTAACACGTTTTTACGACATTAGGGATGATATTTGTAATTTCTCACTCTCTTTTCCAAAAGTACGTTGATTTGTATTGTTCAGGTCCCGTCTAGCCTAGTCCCGTTGGTGGCTGAGGATTACGATGCTCTACGTGACTATCCAGAATTAAAGCCGTACCTTCTCTCAGACGTGACCTTTACCGGGACCACGATTGGAGCCGGGGCCTCCGCAACTGTCGAAGAGGTGCTGGTACCAATGGGTGCGGCCGCCAGGAAACTCCACGATGTAGCTTCGGAGGGAAAGGATGAGCTAACATTTGTGGAAAAGGCGTTCATGGAGGAGTGTAAACTGATGAGCACCCTCAGCCACCCAAACATCATCAAGTTTATGGGTCTTGTGTATCCTTCTGGCTCACGACTCCCTGCTGTCATAATAGAGAGAATGGCAACGAATCTCCACGACCTGCTGCTTGACTCCGATAGGGAAAAACCTTCGTTGATCATGAAGTGCTCCATTCTTCACAACGTGGCATGCGGTTTAGCCTACCTCCACGAGCGATCACCACCCGTCATCCACCGTGACTTGTCAGCCCGAAATGTTCTCCTGGACTCAGACATGGTGGCCAAGATAGCAGACCTGGGTACGGCCCGCACTGTAGAAAATGCAAGAGTTGCTCAAAAGATGACAGCGTGTCCAGGAAATGAGTTCTACATGCCCCCCGAAACTATTCCCCATAACTGCTCTTACAATAGCTCGATCGACATTTTCTCACTAGGAATCCTTACAATTTTCACAATTGGGGAGATTTTCCCCATGAACCTGCTCCCATCTACATATTATACTGAGTCAGACGGCCTTCTGAGAGCTCGCACTGAACTAGAGAGACGAAGCGATTACATGGAAATTGTAGTAGCTCAAATCGGTACTCATGACCACCCTCTCATTCGGCTGATCCAGCACTGCCTGCAAAATCTCCCAACCAAGAGGCCAAGTATCAGTGAGGTGCTGCGTCTGTTGGAGGAGGCTAAACATTGTGCCAGGGATGATAAGGTGGGGTACACTAGCTGATTCCCTCCCCTTTGAAACCCAAGTTACCAGTCTCCATATGGCTAATAGTAGTGTATGTGTCAACAACTAGGTAGTGAGGTAGAAAGGCAAGGAAAAGCAAACAAGTTCACTACACCCGTAGATACGACACCCCATACGCGAGATATTTTCACCCTGAAACGTGCGGATACAACTGTGAATAATAATTATCTGCCACCACACCGTACGTTACATAGCTCTATACTAGGTAAAATTGGTCAAAGAATAGTTGTGGTCATGTAGTTAATTAACCCTCGGCACGCATGCTCAGCAAGGGTTACAGTACTTTGTCTGTCTGTCCGTCTGTTACCATTTTCTGCTAGCCACCACACGTAACGAAGTCGCCAAGAAGCTATACAAACGGGTTCAGTTCTACGTAAAAGTGCTGCGTTCTAAAGTTATGGCGTGGAAACCAACTCAACAAGCCAATATGCTAATTATAACAGGCTTACCTCGACCGGGTCCGCTCACTCTGTGTATCTTGGGGGCATGGGAAGTCACAACGAATGGCCTCCCGCATGCTATCTACTGTCGCTAACCCGTGTCAGACTCTCCGCGAGCTACTAGCAGTAGACCACTAGTAAATGCAATTAGCAGTACCGCACATGCGCAGTTTGCCAAGGGTTTGCACCTCCTGTGGTGGCAAGCCTGAACCGCCACCTTAACCTGCTCTTGCTCTTGTTGTAATATCTATTCCAGAGATATGCATATATTCAGACAGAAAGTGCACAAATAAAGCTTTCATTTGATAAGCATAGGTATTTCCAACATGGAAATGCACTGTGAATTGTCGCATACTTCCAGGTTATAAGGGTGAACCACCACCTTAAAGAGGCCACTCTTCAGTAGCTTCCATTTACCTTCTCTATCTTCACACTGTAATTATTGACTCTTGCAGAATGTGCTGCCTCCTAAAGCGATGTGTGTCAGAGAGGAAGTGGATGACGATCTGAGCCGAAAAGTCCCTTATGAGGAGCTCAAGGGAGAGCACAACTGCCCTCCAGGAGTTGACCCACACAACAAGGAAGTAAGTGTTGGTGCTACTGTCAGTTTTTAGTGTTACAGTAGAACCTCTTTATAAAGTGCACACAATATTAGGAGTATGTCTGATGCACACATTGGGACCATGGTTACACGAAAGTGGATTGAAACAGGTGGAGACACGTCCTTCATTCAGAGTGTCCTTTACAAGATGTTTTACTTCCACTGTACTAGAACCATTGCAATGCATATTTTTGCAAGGGAAACAACAGGTCAATTTCCGTACATGTTTGTTTAGAATTGTTTAAACATTACTGTATGTACAGTTTTAGGCCAATTATAAGACCTACTAAATCACATAGTAAAAAGCTGTGCCACACTTTGGAAGCTTGGTGCTCTTTGCTGCTAAAAAAATGCAAGTTCCATGTGTGTCCATCCTTAGAAGGACATGATGTCTTAGAGATGTTGCACATTGCCATATAGTGCACTGCTTTGCATGATTAAATTCCACACTCAACCATCTACAGTCATCTATGTGACAATGGGATTTTGCCACCCACTGCCTTGATTTGACTATTATAGTATACAGTGGAACCTCTTTTGGCAGACACCCCGAATAGCGGACACCTACCGTATAACTGACAGTGCGCTATGTACCAACTGCTTTTCCCATAGATACTGTACGTTAAAAACCTCCGAATAGCGGACACTCCTAATAGTGGACACCTCCATATAACAGACACTTTTCAGGTACTGAAGCACTCGCTAACACCTCTTTATAACGGACACTCTAACTAGCGCACACTTACCTTAGTTCACAACTAGCGAAGAGTCTGCTGTGAGACTGGCATCTCATTCACCTTCGTTTCAACTTTCTACAGCAGAGTTTCACTCATTTATCAGATGATATCATGTTTATCAAGTAATTTGGACTCCTGTAGTAGGAGAAATATGTTTCTACTTTGAAACAAAGCACTCTGGATCATTTCATTACAACATAATGCATCAGCACGCATGCGCAGCGAGGGTTACGGTACTTGGTCTGTGTGTGTGTGTGTGTGTGTCTGTCTGTCTGTCTGTCTGTCAGCAGCTATTCTCGCACTACAGGGTTCAAGGCGACCTATGAGCGATACCAACGGCTTCAGAACTACGCGAGCCTGAAAAATAAAAAGGTGATTTTCCTGAAACGACTACGTTCAACGTGAAAACAAGCGAAAAAGCCAGTATGCATAATCGCATTGGGCTTACTGCGACCAGATCTGCTCGCTCTGTGTACCTTGCAGGCTGAAGAAGTCACAACTAATGGCGTGTATCGACTCCCGCATGCTATCTACTAGTGTAGCTAGCCCGTGTCAGACTCTCTGCGTCCTACTCGCGTGGAGACCACGAGTAAACACGTACTATATAGCCCAGCCCATCAATTAACAGTACCGCGCTTGCACAATGCGCCAAGGGTTTGCACTTCACTCATTGATGCTGTAAAAGTGCATAAGATGACCGTTTTGACACGAACCTCCCAATAAGGGACAACTTCCGAATAAGGGACAGCGGCCTTTGTACCAAGGTGTCCCTTATTAAGAGGTTCCACTGTAAATTTCCCCAAGCTTATGGAGTACAAGGGAAGGCGGTACTTTGACTTACTTTAACTTGTGTGTCGATCTAGGGGTTCCTAGCATTTTTGTTTGCTACAAGGACACGCTCTGATGTCTACCTTCCTTGAGATGTTAGCGTTAGTCTGCACGAAAAATTATACGAGGAAGCCCGGGGAAAGTGAAGCAGGTTTGGGGCTATAGCCTTATGTAGCTATATAGTCTTCTGGTGTAGTGGTATAGTAAGCAGTCTTTGTTGTTCAGTGTCCTCTGTGAAGAACACACTGGCTTTGTATAGCTTCAGCATAGATTGGCAAGGTGATACACCACTCATACATTCACACACTCAGACCAAGTGTGTAATCCTCGCTGTATATACATGTAAGCCGAGGGTTGAAAATGCACTTGTGATTTTGATGCAGTACACCTGCTGGCTGCTACTAAGCCAGTGTGGTTGGCTGGAACAACTTGGAAAAGCTTTCCAGTCGCAGGACAGGCACATTACAGTGGAATCCTCTGAACAAGGGACGTTATGGGGCCAACGATTTTGTCCCTTGTATATAGAGAGGTTGTCCCTATCTCGGACGTCAAATAAAACAGTATAGTATTAGCATGGGGTTGAAGCAAGTGTCCTTTAAGAGAGGTCATCCCTATCTCGGAGGGTCCCTTATCGGAGGTTGTATTCCGGGACACTAGTTTGTTATGAACTATGAACCCAGTTAATGCAGTATGATGATGATGATTTATACTTGACACCCCACAGCTTCATCTTGCAGAAGAGGAATTCTCCAAAGTTTTTGGGATGAGCATCCATGATTATCGGTGTCTCCCTCGGTGGAAGAAGGTTGTTTTGAAGAAGAAAGTGGACCTTTTCTAAATGGAATCAGATGCATCTACCTTGTATTGTGCATGTATATTTTGCTCATGGACACACAATATAGGCTGTAGGTTTGAAGCCAGTGATGATAATTTTTAATGCAAAATATTATTCAAGTTAAAAATATGGCGGTTCGAATGTATCGAACCTCCTCGAACCTTCTTGAACCACTTTAGTGCGGAGAAAACAAAGTGTGTAGGGATCATTCACATGAGTTCTGGGCGGTTCTACTGTACGGAACCTTCTTCTATACCAGGGTTCATGCCAAAGAAGAGTGAGCTATATATGGTATATAAGCTGGTCTGCTTGTTGCAATGCATAAGCTACTGACACCTGGAGTTGTAAAGTAAAGCTTTCGATGTAAAGTTAGGTGGTCGAAAGGGTAATGCATGGGAATAATAGCAGGCAGCGGCAGCATCGAGGGGTCCGACACAGGCCGTTATGACATACGACATTTCTAAAATTCTTGATTTCTTATAATATATATACTGATTTCCAGATTTACACGTGATTTCAACTAATATTTTCAGATTTCTGTGAGTTCAAGATTTCACGTGATTTCTACTGATTTCGTTTCTCTAGATTTCTATGGATTTCTAAACTGATTTCTATTGATTAATTCTCGGTCTCTCAACTTTACACTCCCTCAAGAAAAGTTCCCTTCCTGGCATGAACAGTATATAGTCATGCGCCACAGAACACTGAGGCCTACCGCCTGAAATCTAGGATATAGCCGGCTACAGAAACAGCCAGCAAGAAACAATATCACTTCTGTGCCTGTATTGTACAAAGTGGTGTGGTCCTGTTCTCAAGCATAGGTTCAAGTCCAGGTCGGTAGGAGTCCCAAGGGAATTTCTACACAGTTTATTTTGCCCTCCTATTTCCGGCTGCTCTCCTGGCATTTCCACCTGAGCAAACGCTGAAACCTATGCCAAGGCCATTTCCACCACCCCAGCCTTGGTTCACGTGACGCATGCATATACTTGCGAGGCTTATCAGTCGTGTTATTACAGTGACTGCCGTCTAGCTGTATGTCGTCGCCGACGGATCAAAGCGACGCTCTTGGCGACTATCCCGAGCTGAGAAAGCATGTCCTGAAAAATGTACTGCACACCCGTACCATCGGTGCCGGGACCTACGGCATAGTGGAGGAGGTCGTCATTCCTTCGTCGGGAACCATCTGCGCGGCCAAAAAGATACACGCCTTCAACATCCAAGACAGAGGTCTAATGGTCAGGGAGTTCGCAAAGGAGTGCCAACTGATGAGCAGCCTACTACACCCAAACGTCGTCCAGTTCTTCGGCATTTACTATTTTCCAAGCGATCCACTACCCTCGCTGGTAATGGAGAGAATGTTAACGAGCCTTCACGATTTATTGGATCCGAAAAAGCGTGGCACAACGGAAAAATCATTATTCTCGCTGGATCTAAAGTTCTCCATATTGCACGATGTGGCAAGCGGTCTAGCCTACCTCCACGACCAATCGCCGCCAATCGTCCACCGAAACCTGTCAGCCAAAAATGTTCTTCTCAATTCAGGGATGGTAGCAAAGGTTGCTGATCTGGCCGAAGCTCGTAGGGTGTCCAATACGAATATTGCCACCCTCATGACAAAGTGCCATGGAGCGCTCTATTACTTGCCACCCGAGGCACGTACTGAGCGACCAGAATATGATGGAACAATCGACACATTTTCCTTTGGGGTCATTGCCATCTTCACAATCAGCGAGAACTTTCCCTGTGATGTTCTTGAGCCCAACTACACGGACGAGGCGAGCGGGCTCTTAGTGCCTCGCACTGAAGTAGAACGACGTATCAAGTATTTGAAAAATGTGGAAGTCAAGCTTGGTGGGCGTCACCCTCATCTCCTTGAACTGATCAGAGTTTGTCTGCACAATCACCCACCTAAGAGGCCAAACATGAAAACGGTGCTGGATCAGCTAAAAAAAGCAGGGGGTGGCGGTGCTAGGCCGGATGAAGAGAATGTGAGAATACAAGTACAATGTGTATGCAACTCCATTTTACCTTACCCGAATTTCACTCATGAGCAGGTTTTAATCAAAGCTCTTAGACGTCAGGTTGAAGAGCTACAATCAAATATTGAGGTGCGTCGTGTATAAGAGGTTCTGTGCCATTGACTGCTGATGTTAGTTCTTTATTCTTTATCAGGCAAAGGATGGGCAACTGTCGAAATCTCAACAGCAACTGCAAGATAAGGTGAAAATTGTTACACTCTCACATGTACGTACAGCTAGACTTTTCCAGCCTGCTAAATACAGCTTTTAGCCATCACTATGTGGTCTTCTCAAATTGTACAGCCGTGCAATGACTATCTGGTGAACCATCAGAGCACTGTAGAATGAGAGTCAGAGGAGGGAGGACGCAATCACGTGCGATAACATTAGGTTTACAGCTATGTCCGAAGTATGGAGATTGCCATAGAAAAGCTAAAGATCGGTTTGTAGGAGCGCTTCCAATGGCAAAGGTTCACATCATAATCGAACAGCGTATTTTGCATAGCTTGAGTGTGAGTGGCTCTTGGACCAATTAGTACTCTCAGCAACCTAGTGCATATGAGGTTCACAACACTAAGCCGGGGGATGATTAGCATCTTTAATTGCTCCATAGTAGACTAGAGACAAAGCCAAAGCCCACGATCGGGTTTTGACCTACTGAGAAAAGCTAATAGTTTCTAATTAGTGCGCTCCTCCAACGAAAGAATGCAAGTATTAACACGTGCAATAAACATTTGTGGTGGGATGCTCTAACCACTTTTCAGGAATGTGAGTGGAAGGAAAACAAAGCTAAGCTGACAAAGGAAATTGCAGAACTAAGGAAAGAAGTAAGCTGACAATTGAGCGATTTCTTTTGGTTCTTTTGTCTCACCTATAATAATTATGATGAGAGTATATATGCAACGTGGAGTTTTACTTTTTCTTTAGCATTGTGATAGTATGCTTTAACCTTTTCAGGAACTTGAGTGGAAGGAAAATAACGCTAAGCTGACCAAGGAAATTGAGGACCTAAGGAAAAATGTAAGTTGTGCACGGCACTCTATGCAAGCAAATTACCAGTGCCTTCACGAGATTTTACTTTATTGAATTGTTTTGAAACTAGTATGATAAGTAGTACAGCTTCGATTCTCAGAATCATTAGCCATCACTGAAGTCTTTTGACTTCACCTGGACCCTGGGAAACTTGCAATAACCTAATTCAAACACTAACTGGGTTCACTCTAATGGTAGGTCCCATGTGACAGAAGTAAAGTACATGGTACTTGTATAAACAGTTTACACAATGACTTCCTGGGTCCAGGGAAAAGAGAACACATTAGCCTAAGGATATATAGCAAGGGAACTCTGACCAAAGTGTTAAGCCATTCTTAGGTTAAAAACTTTTTTGGGTGCACTACGCAAGACCCTTCATAAGTTTCTTCTGACCACCAATCAAAACCCTACATTCAGTGTTTTTTCAATTTACATAGGCGACTGAGGCCAAGGGCGAGCCAGAGCAACAACAGGTTGATTGACATTCTTGCATGCTCTTAGATGAGCAATAAGCTTGTGATAACTGTAGGAGCAGCTGTTGAAAGAACAAAATGAGGAGATGCCAAGAAGGAGCTGTCAAGTTAGTACTAACCATAATTTGTGAATTTGTATAGTTTCGAAGTATGGTGGTTTGTACAGACATACTAGAGCATGGTACAAATTACTTGCACACAAATCATCTGGAATGGGCACGATGCAGAGCATAACCACACTTCAGAGGCTATTTTTAACGCATGCACAGCTAAGGTTATTGTTGTGTCTGTCTGTCTGTCTGTTACCACGCTTTCTGCCACCAAGAGCTAGAAATCGGCCAAAGAGCGATAGCAACTGGTTTTTTAACAGGTGACTTTGTACTGCCTTCAAATGCTATGGCATGAAAAGTGAACAAGCCAAAGTGCAAATCACCACTGGCTTACCTCGACCTTATTCCGCCTGTTTGCATTCTGAAAGAAGTTACCACGGAGGGCGAGTGTCGAGTCTCATGATGCCTAAAACACTATCTAACCTAGGTCAGACTCTCAGAGAGTTATCTAGAGACCACAACACGAGTAACTACTGACAGCGTGGCTTCTGATAATAAGTGCTGCTTGTTTACTGTACTATTTGAGCGCTGTTTCAACTCTGTGAGCTTACTAAAGCACAGTCCACATTGAAAAACATTGGCTTTGCTCCTGAATGCAAGTGTTTCTGGAATGCAAGTGTTTCTTTTTCTGTGGCTACATCTTCCTGAAAAGATTATAGCCACAGAAAAAGAAGATGTCTAGAGGTATGTATACAAGGGGTTGCTACTTGATGCTAGACTCACGAAAAGCATAAACGTGTGACTCATGTGATGCAACAGTACAGACGGTGGCTGTATACTTACACTCTATTGCTTAATGCAAATTTTTCTACTGCACAAGCCCTTTTATAGACACTCAGGGACGTTAAGGCGCGTCCCGAAATATTTCTACGCGCACTTTACGCACAACGTTACGTATACCGTAATACTCTAATTTTGCGTACTGTACGTAGAAATTTTAAAACGTAATGCGCGCGCGCCGGCGCTTACACGTACGTGTGAGGGTCGATCGATCGGGTGTGAGCGCACAACGTCGAGAGTTAACGGACCTGTGTACATGTACCTAAAACTATGCCTAATGTTTTTTCTAGTGTTATGAATATAGAAAAAGCGCAGACTGACGTATCTCTAGCTCTGTCATGTCCAGCTTGTTGATTTTAACCGCCGCGCGCACTATGGCTGGAGGGCGCATGCGCACAATTTCTCACCTTTGACCTCAGATTCGTTCTAGAGACGCAGCAATCGCGCTGTAACCGATTAACTAAAACCGGGCAACGGTAAGTGGAGAGCAGTGAAGCAGCTATAGCTCTGCCTTCGTAAGACAGCTGACGGATACTCTTCACCTACTCGGATTGGGAACGGTCGGCCTCTTACATTTAGCGGAGGTATGAGTCCGTTGCCACGCCATAATTGTTAGCCGGTAACCTGAAAACCATCATAAGACTGCTACGGGAAGGTTTCGTAAGTTCCCATTCAAAACATAATGACTTCGCTACTTGTGTTTTACTGTTGTGGACATAAGTGAAATATTCCTTCGTTGGCTAGTTTCCTTACCGGTTGCTAGTCTAAACACAAATGACGTAAATACAGACGGTACACGCCCACTATGGATCACGTTACCTTGTTTGTGGGTGTGGTCGATGTTTGTTGTTGTTGTTTACAAACACTTGTTCAGGTTTGATGTGTGTAACCCCTTTAGTTTTGGAGATACAGCATTTGGGTGTTTCCAGTGCTGGGACGTGCCTTAATGCCCCTGAGCAGCACTTATAATTAACCCTTGGCGCTCATGCGCAGCGAGGGTTACTGTACTTGGTTCGTTAGTTTGTGTGTCACAACCCGTCCGTCCGCTGGTCCGTCTGTCTGTTACCACGTTTTCTGCCACCACGTGCAACGAGACCGATACTAAAAGCTTCAACGCTACACTGGCTTTGTTTTTGGCGAATTTCTTAAGAGTACTGCGTTCAAAAGTTTATGGCTTAACTGTGGTGTTATCATGTATACGGTAGTTATATAATATTTATATTGTTTTGAACACATGTAACGCCACCGCCTGGCACCTGACTGCGCTAGACTGGAACTCCTTTAGACGATGACATTACAAGAAGAGAAAGAGACACGTATAGACAGATGACTTAATGAAATTCTGGCAAACAATAAAAGAATGCACGGTTTTATACACAACAACAGTGAAGTAGTATCCTGTAATGATGCTCATGAGCTACAATTCCCGCCCCTCAAAGGCATCTCGCCCCGAGGAGGCACATACACTAAAATGGCTAACTAAGGGATGACCTCGTCGTCCAGTTTCCAGGTGACTTGCTTCTTCATCGATCGGGTGTTGGGGCCTCTCCTTGGAGGTTCCTGAGGTGGAACCACAGCAGGAACTAGGCTGTCTAGCTTTGTTCTTTTTCTTCTTGCCCAACCAACAATCATTCGGTCGTTCCGGGTAGCACTTACGCAGACCGTCAATAGCCACAAATATAGTTTGTTCACTAATTAGTTGAACCTCGGCATTAGTCGGCGTGATGTTGACCACACGGTAAGGTACGTGATAAGGTCGCGGTCCTTCGCAACTGTTTCACTAGGCATGAAAACCATGACTCGATCACCAACTTGAACTTCAGATTCGTAGATTGTCGATCATAAAATCTTCTCTGCTTTTCCTGTGCCTTCTGGATACTCTCCAGAGCTAACTCGCGTGTCTTTATCGAAGTCGATAACAGTTCAGTTCGGTAGTCTTCTGCGTCCACAGGGTATGTAGTAGGTGACTGTCCCGGTAGAGAGGCAGTTGGTAGTAGTGGATCATGTCAGAAGAACGGACTCTCCCTCGTTGACTCCTACACTATAGACCGGTAAGCGAACAGTAGAAGGGGTTGTCTCTTGTCCCCAATAGGGTAGAATTGAATTTCTCTACCAGTCCATCCATTTCAGGGTGGTATCCACTAGTGCTAATTTTCTTCATCTCCAGAAGTGAACACAGTTCTAGAATTAGGTCAGAGAGGAAGGACCCCTATCTGACAACAGTTCCTCGGGAACTCCATTACGACAGATAATATGCGCAATCAACAGAGTAGCAATGGTAGTAGCCTTTTGATCAGGGGTTGGGAACGCTTCAACCCACTTCGTAAGATAAACCATGAATACGACAACATATTTGTTACACTCGAGGTGAGAGGTAACTGCAGAACGTCAACAGCTACTCGATGAAAGGGTCCTTTCACAGGGATCGGCATCATTGGAATGACCAGGTCCTTGCCTTGTAACACAGCTGAGGCAACTACGACAGAACTTCCACATATCTCGTCTTCGGCCGTACCACCAATAGTTCCGGCAATACACTTTCTTCTCGGAAAAGTGGCCGCCAAAACAACAAGCATGGGCTTCAGTAAGAAGCTGGGAACGTAGCTTCGTTGGGACCACAATACACCACCGGCCAGGTTGATTAGGATTCTCGTGGTGTTAGACTATACACCATCTATCATTTCATAGTGCTGGCTTTCCAGCAAAATCTTTTGAGCCACCTTATGGTCCTCCGGAAGGAGACCACGGCTGTGATATTGCATATACGGTCACAGATCAATATCTTTCATCTGCAACTGGTGAATATATTCACATATTTTCAAACCATCATCATGATAAACAGCACTTTCATTTTCATCTTCATTTACATCAACGACCAAAACACAGAATAATTCACCCTCAACATCCTTACTTCTGCCACTCCAACAACGGCACTGACTGTCACCAGTAGTATCAATCAAACCACTGCAGCTACAATGAAAAGCACTAAAGTGTAAACCCTTGGCGAACTGCGCGTGTGCGATACTGCTTGTTGATGGGCTGGGCTATTGCCTATTATTATGCGTTTACTCGTGGTCTCCCGCTAGTAGCTCGCGGAGAGTCTGACACGGGCTAGCTACAGTAGTAGATAGCATGCGGGAGTCGATACACGCCCTTCGTTGTGACTTCTTGTGCCTTCAAGATACACAGAGCAAGCGGGCCCAGTCGAGGTAAGCCTGTGCTAAATATAAGCGCATGCGCATTTTCCGCAGCGATAAAAATGGGCGACTACGCATTAGCCGCAGAATGCCGGAAGCGCTCTAGCTTTGCAACGGAGCATTTTCAGAGAAAACCCCACAAATTTTCTGACCTTCATCGCCCGTTGGGTAGATGGTATCGTTTATGGGACGAACAGACATTCGAGAGGTGAGATGTAGAGTAACAGACACACGGACAGACAGACCCAACTACAGTAACCCTCGGTCCCATGGCACTCAACAAGGGAGAGGACTGGAGAGCCACACGTTCACCATTTTCCCCCACACAGTAACGTTCATTTCTGTGCTAAATATAAGCGCATGCGCATTATCCGCAGCGATAAAAATGGCGACTACCGGCATGCCATACATACAATGCTGGAAGCGCTCTAGCTTTGCAACGGAGCATTTTCAGAGAAAACCCCACAAATTTTCTGACCTTCGTCGCCCGTTGGGTAGATGGTATCGTTTCTGGGACGAACAGACGTTCGAGAAGTGAGATGTAGAGTAACAGACAGACACACACACACACACACAGACAGACCCAACTACTGTAACCCTCGCTGCGCATGCGCGACGAGGGTTAACAACAGCCATCAGGCACAACAGAACCAGTGTTACAACCACAGCCATTATAAATGCCACATCCAAGACAGACAGTATCATCAGAGCTACTACCGTCACGACCATCATCGCCAGGGTTACACTCACAACGACCACAACGATAATCACAACTACGAGAAACAGAGTTAGACCCACGATCGCCATCACAACACCAAACATCATCTTCAGATTTGGATTCAGAAATAGGGTTATGCGACAAAGCGTCAGCATTTGAGTTTAGCTTGCCAGCTCTGTGCTTCTGCGTTAGATTAAGGTCCTGTAGAGTTTTAATGCCCATCGTGCTATCTTCCCAGACGGCCAAGCCGTACCTAACACAGAAACGCAAGCTAAGTGGTCGGTAAAAACTGTTGTATGATGCCCTAAATGATCTGTATGGGCAGAAATAACGTGCTGCCCACACTGCGGCTAAGGTATCTAATTCAGTTATACCATAGTTTCGCTCACTACTGTCAAGCAAACATGAGGCATAGGCAATAGGGTGGAGCTGTTCGTCATCTTGTGTCTGGAAAGGTACTGCTCCAAGACTCACACCACTCACGTCTGTCTCTAGGATAAACTCAACGCCAAGGCCAAACCTAGGGTAGGCCAAAACTGGAGCACTAACTAATAGCTCTTTCAATTTGTCAAATGCTGCTTGGCACTTAGCTGTCCACTCAAACTTAGTGTTCTTTTACGCCAGAGCACGCAGTGGGGATGCAATACACGCAAAATTAGCAACAAAACACCTGTAATAAGAGGCTAAACCAATAAATTGCCTCACACCAGTAACATCGTGAGGTACAGGGAAAGACTTCACTTACTCCGTCTTTGCTGGTCAGGCTTGATGCCCTCAGCACATACCACCATGGCCAAGGTACGGCACATCGTCACGAAGAAATAGGCATTTCTTAGGCTTCAGATGTAAACCAGCAGACCTGTGACACTCGAACACCTCTCTAAGCTGTTTTAGGTGTTCATCAAAGCTCTTAGAAGCTATCAGAATATCGTCAAGATACACAAAGACTCCGCTCCCTTCTAGCCCCGCTAGAACGACCTGCATAACCCTCTGAAACGTAGCCAGCGTATTACACAGTCCAAAAGGCATTCGAACAAACTCATATAGGCCATTATAATATGTTGTAAATGCTTACTTCACACAGGCATCATTATCAAGCTTCAATTTGCCAATAGCCTGAGGAGGTAAAGAATTTAGTACCACTCAACGTGTCTAAAATATCATCTACACATGGCAAGGGAAAACATCGTTTCTCGTGATGGAATTAAGCTTGCAGTAATCTACACAGAAACGCAGGCTACCACCCCTTTTAGGTGCCAGAACCACTGGGCTGGCCCAGGGACACCGTGATGGTTGCACTATCCCTTGATGCTGCATCTGATCAACCATTTGTCTGATTGTGTCCCTACACACTATCGCAGTACGATGAGGCTGCTGCTTAATAGGTATATGCTCCCCAGTATCTATAGAGTGACGAACAATACCCGTACACCCTAGCTCCTGGTCAGTAAGAGAAAAGACATCAGAGTATTCATACTGCATTTGGTTAGGGCTCAAATTGCGTGTGGATATCCCTAGCACTTCTCTCCTAACACTTTTGAAGATGCAATCAGTTGGCTCTAACCACAGAAATACCTAGGGCCGGTAAGACATTGGACCCCAACAAACAGTCTTGCTCACTATTATTAACAGGCACAGAGGTCACCTTCCCATCCACACTAAGGGTAAGTGGGACTTGTGCGGTAATTAACCCTCGGCGCGTATGAGCAGCAAGGGTTACAGTAGTTGGGTTTGTCTGCCTGTCTGTCTGTTACTCAACGTCTCACTTCTCGAATGTTTTTTCGTCTCACAAACGATACTACCTACTTAACGGGTAATGAAGGTCAGAACATTTGTGCGGTTTTCTCTGAAAATGCTTCGTTGCAAAGCTAGAGCGCTCCCAGCATTGTACGGCTAATGCATAGTCGGCCATTTTATCGCTGCGGAAAATGCGCATGCACTTATATTTAGCACAGGCTAGCTTACCTCGACCGGGTCCGCTTGCTCTGTTTAACAAGAAGTCACAACGAATGGCGTGTACCGACTCTCGCATGCTGTAGCTAGCCCATGTCAGACTCTCTGCAAGCTACTAGCGGGAGACGACGAGTAAACGCATACTAATACAATTAGCAATACCGCGCATGCGCAGTTCACCGAGGGTTTGCACTTTAGTGCTTTTCATTAGTTCAGAACCACAAGTGCTGCGCTCCTGGTAGCCTTTATAAGCTCGTGATGCCAGAGAGAGAAGTTGCGGTATGCGGTATGCTTTTCATTTGGATAGGGTTTCCACCTTTCTCTTTGAACTTAGTACAGGGCTCTTGAAACCTAGGTGGAGTTTCACCTGAACTTCTCATAATATGGGCAAACACCTTGTGGAGAAATGCAAGAGAAATGAAAAGCACTAAAGTGCAAACCCTCGGCGAAGTAGCTCGTAGAGAGCCTGACACAGGCTATAGCTACAGTAGTAGATAGCACGCGAGAGTCGATACACGCCATTCGTTGTGACTTCTTGTGCCTTCAAGATAGACAGAGCAAGCGGACCCGGTAGAGGTAAGCCTGTGCTAAATATAAGCGCATGCGCATTATCCACCAGCGATAAAATTGCGACTACCGGCATTAGCCATACAATGCTGGAAGCGCTCTAGCTTTGCAACGGAGTATTTTCAGAGAAAACCCCACAAACTTTCTGACCTTCATTGCCCGTTGAGTAGGTCGTATCATTTGTGAGACGAACAAACACTCGAGAAGTGAGATGTAGAGTAACAGACAGACAGACAGACACGCAAACCCAACTACAGTAACCCTCGCTGTGCATGCACGCCGAGGGTTAATAATGGTTGACTGTGAACCTGTGTCAACAAGGTCAGACACAACTAATCCCCCCACTGATCATGACACACTAGCAGATAGGCTGAACCCACAGCACCAGTTACTACATTCACACTCTTGGTAGGCTCATCTGCTAACTGCTGTTCTTTGTCTAACTTGCGCCGAGTCAACTCCTGTTCTAGCTCCTTATCGCTACAGTCCGCAACACTACGCACCTGCAGGGAGTCCTTAGGTTTAGCAGTTGTCCCAGGATCTTGTCTACCTGGAGACACAGCACCTTGTCTCCTGTTCTGACCACAGTTACGGGCAATGTGACCATATTGACCACATGCTCTACACTGGATATAATGCTGCTGATGCTGCCCCTGCCTATTAGCTGACTTGCCGCTAGTTGGCTTGCTATCAGAGTATTCACTAGGTACCTTCGAGCGACTATCACTCCCTTTTCCACGAATAGTCTCACTATCTGCCTTCTTAGTCTTGTCCTTTCCCCTACGCTCATCAGCAATGTCATTATACTGCTGCTCACGACACTCCATGGTACATGCGCGACTGAACAACTCATCAAAGCTCTCATCAGTCTTGGGAGCACCTAACTTTATCTGCCATTTGGGGAGGAGTGCTTGAAATCAAGGTCCTTTCCTACCAGAGTTGGGAAAGCTCTCTTAGTTACCTTCTGAAGCTGTAACTCCATAATTGCTCTACAGATTGGGTTTTCTAGACAAAACTGATGGAATTCCATCCCTCTGAGTTCCTCTATATCTACAAGTTTGAACTTAGACCTGAGAACACTCACACTAGCACTGTAACTATAGCCTTGACATCTTCAGGCAACAGCCAATAGGTTTGAAAAGAAGTCTTACTAAGCCTAATTTTGAGATGATAACGGCGGAGATCCTCCGACCATTCTTCAAACTGCTCTATCCATCTCTCAAACCCATCCTCTAGGGACTGCTCACCCTCGCCACTGTAAGTAGGAACAGGAGGAAGGCTCTCGGCCGAGATGGCCCTAGTCTGTGCAGCAACCATAGCTGTCTGTGTCTGAACCACTTGGGTCAACTGTTGGATAAGCTCCGGACTTCTTCCAGCTGCCTCAGCCCCTCCAGGTCGAGTCGCAGTCGGAGGCCGTCAACTTTGGTCCTCGTCCTCTCTTCAGACTCTTGCAGCTATCGCCGTAGCTCCTCGTTCTCCCTAGCCAGTCCATCCAGCTGTCTCTCCGCCTCCTGCACCTTGCTCCTCTGTTCCTCGCCCTCTTCTTTCGCTGTCTTGGACATCCGCTGAGCTTGCCGTAGTTGTTCCGCCAGGCCAGCCCACTCCTCTGCCGCAGTCTGCTCCGCCTGCTCCAACTGCCTGGTAAGGTCAGTTCGCACGACTTAACGAAATTGTGGCCAACGATACAAGAATGCACGGATTTATACACAATAACAGTGAAGTCGTATCCTGTAATGATGCGCATGCGCTACACACAGGATTTCGCCATTATTTATGCCATATCCATACCTGGCATCCTTTCAGAAGCCGCAAGTGGCACACTGGTGTTTTTTGGGGTGAACCAAGCCAACATGTAGGACGTGTATGCAGATGCACAATATTGTCTGGGTGGCTGTGAATGCAGAGCATTGGACCAGTAAATTATGTCACTACCAGTTGCTTATTATCTCACCTGGGAGCAAAACATTTCTGTTCATAATTGGTGTAAATGATCAGGCAACATCCGACCAGCGGGATATAGTAAGGAATTTGGGGTCGGTGGGCGGGACATCAACTAGATTGGTCAATACTGTGACTTTCCTGACCAGACAGGAATGGTTGACATACCGCATTGTAACTATGTATCCATATGAATAAGGAACTGACTGCCTTATTGGCAAGTTAGAGCAAGCCTAACCTACTTGTCTGAACGGAAGTTATGTCTAGTAATGGCGTAACTAAAATTTCTTACATGCTGCCTATCCTCATGACAGCGAAAGAACCCTCGTCCATTTGATGGCATTCGCTGCACTCTACGGTGCCTGACCGAGGCTGTACCGCTTTCCAATCTCCGTGGTTCTGTGGATGCAAGTTTTAAATAGGCTAGAATAGCTCTTGCAGATACAGTCATTATGTGCTCTCTCCCGCTCACCAAAAATGCCTTGCATTCGCCTACTAATAAATTGGTACAAGTGAAATTCTTAATAACTACGCCTAGACATACGTACCACACACATCCTGTTAGCAGAATGTCTGCACAGATATATCATTTCACAGCGGTGTGCCAGTTTTCAAGGCAAAATTGAAACATTGTCTTGTGTATTGTCAATCTTGTGTGTACACACAATGAGTGTAAGTAACAGAGTTCTGTATACTATGCACAGGTTGAAGGATCTAGTCCGTCATTGTGGGAACTATTGGAACGATTGGCTAGTGTAGAAAAAAAGTTCTACGTGATTGGACTGGGTCTTGGGGTCAAGGAAAATGTACTTGAAACAATTGAGGAATCCAAAGAAGCTTGTCTTCGGAAGGTGCTCCGTGAATGTCTAAAGCAAGTGAAGCTTACATGGAAAGATGTAATTGATGTTCTCTCATCTGACGCAGTTAAAGCGTCCACACTAGCTGAGAAGCTGCGTAAAGAGTTTTGTTCCTCTGCTGCTGCACCAGGTTTGCATAAGCTACTATAAACAAATTCCATATGGGGCAATTAGTGCTTTTGCACACATAAACTCATTAATCTCATTAATCCTCGGTGCACATGCGCAGCGAGGGTTACAGTAGTTGGTTTGTCTGTGTGTGTGTTTGGTATGGGTTAAGAAGAGAAAGGAGGGAGAGAGTTGTGGGGAACGAGGTGTAGTGACAGAGACTGGGGGGACTTGTCGGCGTCATCAAAGCACCGGACCACCAGACATACACTCAGGCTGTGCATGGAGTTACAAACCACAGTGTGCTTCCACATATTATTACTAGGAATGCGCACGCGCATATTTTGCCTCGCTGCCTGCCAGCCAATGCGTAAACAGTCCGACTGAGGCCGCTCGTGTGCGCGCTCTACTGACTGCGCGCGAAGCAAGACTTCATACGAATCTGCGCGCACGGCGGAAGCTACATTTGTTACGAATGACGGTAGTTGACATTCCTAAGCGTGACTAATTGACATTCCTACGCGTGACTAATTGACGTTCCCTAAGCATGACTAATTGACATTCCCTAAGCGTGACTAATTGACATTCTTAAGCGTGGCCGACACATACGTACGTACGTACGTACGCATATCGCGAGAATACAACCCGGAGTAGTTGCCTCGCGCATTTGGTACATGTGCCAACTACCTATCCCCAAACCTAACAGCTGTCTCTCTGTCTGTCATCTGTCTAATGCACCAGTCACCAGGGGAGCTTCATCGTGTAGGTCACAGGTTTCGGTCCCTTTAATCTCCCGACCTGTGCCTCACTACCACTGGGGCGGGACCACTCCCACGTAATGGAGTCTGGTATCCGCAGTTCTGTCAGTTTGTCTTGCTAAGCTATTAGTTTGTCATGCTATAGTTTAGTTTGTCCTTTTTTCTAAGTCATATTTTTGGTTGAGACGGTAGAAGAAGGTAGTATGCATGCACAGGAAGTTTACCTACCCCGTTACTGCCTTATTGTGACAAGATTAGACAAAATACACATATATACCTGCCTTGGATCACACCTGCTGCCATCTTCTTACAACCACCACACAGGAGTACCAATAATTGCATGCACGGCGAGTACCAATAATTGTGTGGGCGGCTGAGCATCCGCGTGGTTTTTACTACAATTAGCAAAGGGGACTTTTTACCCTCTGTGTGTGTGTGTGTCGACGCTTATTCTGGCACTACAGGCTACGAGGCGGTTTAGTGATACCAGCAGCTTCAGCCTGAAAAATAAAAGGGTGATTTTCCTGAAACAATTGCGTTCGAGAGATATGCCGTGAAAACAAGCGAAAATGCCAATATCTATATTAGCACTGGGCTTACCGCGACCTGATCCGCTCGCTCCTGTCTACCTTTGGGGCTCAGGAAGTCACAACGAATGGCATGTATCGACTCCTATCTACTGTATACGAATGACTCCCGCATGCTATCTACTACTGTAACTAGCCCGTGTCAGACTCTCCTCGAGCTACTAGTGGGAGACCACGAGTAAATGCATACAAATAGCCCAGCCCATCAATTAGCAGTATCATGCATGGGCAGTTCGCCGAGGGTTTGCACTTTAGTGCTTTTCACTGATGATTTTCCATTCAGATTCATCAAGCAGTGTTAAAGCACCAACAAAACCTGGAGGTAATCACTAACTACAGTAGTACTTAGTATATCTCTTTCAGTCACAGATTCGGCTTCTGCGATCGATCAGCATTTTTCGGCCAGCTCTCCTGAGCCCATGCGTTATTCTGCACAAATCGACACACCCACTTTCCTAATTTCATGCAGCGCGATCTCTCTCCCGGTCATTTTACCAGACCTATATACGCACAGCCTCTGACAGCCTGCTGAGACATTTATGACATGTGTCACTCAATCCGGACCTTTTTGCTTGTTTTTTACTGAAAGGGTAGATGAAAGGAACATCAAAGCTCCAACCGACACATCCAAGTGCCGACCGACCACTTCTGAGGATGCATGGGTGGTTTTTATGACATAATGCCGCCATGCCGCACGCCTACCGGGTCAAAATTCACAATTGTGCGAGTTTTGTTTTGATGTTTCTAGATGTGTGTAAATTTACATTTTGTGAACGAAAGGGTTATTAAAGGGATGACACAGGTCATCCTGCATTATGCCCTTACAATTCAGATTTGTATGTTTCACTTTCAGTTTGAATCAGATCTGACTTCTGACATATGAGTCTGATCCGTATGGTCAAAAAGAGCATGTACCTAAGAAATTGCATTAATCGGTACTTGATTTATTCAAGAAAGTCAGTTTTCAAAATTCTTGTTGTTGTTGTTGTCGTTCAATTTCAATAAGCATATCTCTAAAACCAGGTAAATGAAACTCTGCACAGAGATTGGAATCCGTGACAGGTCGTGCAAGAGCATTTTAATTTGTTTGTAAACAATGTTGTTTACATTTAAACACAACAAAAATTAAAAAAAATATCCCCGGGCCATACATTATGATAGAGACCAATAAAGTGTGCTAACAAGGTAAAGCAAATACCTATATAGAGTGATATACGTAACTTTGCACACATATGCAACCCATCATTAGTATCAAAATGTAAACATTACAAGTTTGTAAACAACAACAAACAGCTTCAACCCATAAATGGTGTTTGTATATACCTATACCGACAGTGTAGGGCTTGTGTGGAGGAAAATTTACACGAGCAAGCAATGTCAGTTTGAAGATGTAACCATCATCTATTCTACTACTGCATCACATACACTAGGTCTTGTCTCCTTGCTTTTTGTGGCATCCCTATATTCTACACTTTTATTTACTTGTTGCCGAGCACGTTAGCGTGAGGCAACTACTCCGGGTTGTATTCGCGTACGTACGTACGTACGTGCCGTCTAAGAATGTCAATTAGTTACGCTTAGGAATGTCACTTCCGTCATTCGTAGGAAGTCTATCTTCCGCCGTGCGGGCAGATTCGAAGGAAGTCTGGCTTCGTGCGCAGTCAGTATAGCGCGCGCACGAGCGGCCTCAGTCGGAGTGTTTACGGCAGGCGCGAGGCAAAATATGCGCGTGCGCATTCCTAGTACTTGCTCGTTGAGTGTTTTCATGTCGCCGAAGGAGACTAAGACCGTACGGATGTTGCCGGGGAGACGTTGGAGATATAGTTCATGAAGGAGTTTCGCGTCGGCGTCCGCAGCCCCACCTCCCAGCAGTTGCTGCATGCGACGGAGAAGTGTCGTGGGTCCCAATTCGGTGGAGCTGAGTAACTGCTGGAGGCGCCGTTGTTCTGGGAGGGCGGTGCGGGTGATGATTGGCGTTTGAGCGTGTCGTACGGTGTCGATGCGGAGGATGAGGTCCAGGACCTGGGTCGCAAATTCGGGCAAGAGAGACCAGGTATATACTCATACTCGGTTATCTGTGAAGTTATGCTGCGGGTGGAGAACTGAGCCTAAACTTGCACGAACCACAGATCCAGGTCGGACAGCCGAAAGGGGGGTATTTTGAGATTTAGGGCGGCCACGGTTCCTGCTTCGCGTTCGAGAGACATGTAGCTCACGTCGTTGGTCACCAATGTCGTGTTATATTTATTACGACGGCAATACACGTAGAGAGACACAACGTACACCAACCGAAAAATGAGCTCGACTGAAAATGCTGACAGTCTAGAGAGTTATATAACCAGTTAACCACATGGTCCGTTCGTCTGCACGGCAGCAGAAATCGATAATAATTAAAGTGCAAACCCTCGGCGAACTGCGCATGCGCGGTACTTATAGCGGTCTCCCGCGCCGCTAGTAGCTCGGGCTAGCTACAGTAGTAGATAGCATGCGGGAGTCGATACACGCCCTTTGTTGTGACTTCTTGTGTCTTCGAGATACACAGAGCAAGCGGACCCGGTCTAGGAACTTGAACGCGGAACTTTTACGAAAATCGCCGTTTTCAAAATGAAGCTAGTGTACCGTTGGTGTCGCTTAGTGTGCGTTTTTTAAGGTGGTGGACGTGTCGTAAGGTAAGAGGTGGTGCTTTTTGTGGAGACGTGGTACTTTTAGTGAGAGGTAGTGCGAGGATCTACGCGTGTGTACTGCACCAAGCACTGTAAACAACACGAGGCAGCTATCTACCCGTGGCACACAGTAACGCTGTGTAGCTCACCTTGTAAAGCATCGGTCATGCCCTGACCTGCTCAAAGTAAGTTAGTAGGAGTGGCTTGGCAACATCGCTGTATGCCGCGGGTAGCTGCCTCGTGTTTTCTTATCTGTACGCACATGCGCATTGCGTGGGTATACAAACGCACGTCGGTCCTTGCACTACCTCTCAACAAAAAGCACTACCTCTTAGTAAAAAAGTACCACGTCTTCCCAAAAAGCACCACACGTACACCACCTTCAAAAAAGGACACTACTTCTCAAACCACACCACATCTCCATCAAAAACGCCACACCACGAAACCTGCACACCCCTCCGTCATAAGTAACCACCTCTCACGTCACAAAGCCACCACGTCTTGATGAAAATAACCTCTTCCTATCCAGTTCGCTAATTTTGGCGGTGATCGCCTCCCATAGTAGCCAGGAGCAAGCTAGGTCTCCGAAGTCATGCGCCACTACCTGCAGTGCTAGAAGACCGAGTACCTGGTTTTTCGTGAGAAACAACCGCTCCAGAAGCCCCATTTTTCGTCCACACGCTTGGCGTCTTTTGCATTGAAGGCGTGGTTTCCATGGCTCTAAATGAGTTAAGCGCCAATTCTTGAGCAAGCCTCGGGCCCTCTAGTAGCGTCCTCGCTAGCGCTCGGACCAGAGGGCCCGCGGCTTTCTAAATCACGTAGTTTCCTCGCATCAGCGCCTAACTTATATTTAGGTGAGACAGACACGACAGTGAAATTATAATTCTATGCAGATATGGCTGAGCTTCAGCAGAGATACAACCTACGATCAGAGGACCTGGACGAACCATGTTCGTACCAGCACAGATTAGATATTGGCACATTTGTAAGCTGGAAGGTCGTGGGTCCTCGTCTTGGCAGGATTGAGCAAAAAGACATGGATGACATAAGCCTTGACATGTATAACGAACAAGAAAAGCGGCAGAATTTACTACAATTATGGGTGGAGAGGAACGGAAGTAATGCGACGTATAATGCAATCATCACTGTGATGTTGGAGGTGAAGAAGCGGAGTGAAACTGAGAAGGTCTGCAAGTTGCTTACTCCCAAGGGTAGGTGTAATTTCTCTAGTCAGGTAACAAAGTATGAAACTCTTTCTCTTACTAGGCTCGGTCAGCTCCAGTACTGGAAAACTTACTTGATTCTCATGTTGCCTATACTGTTGTGATACATGTGTGCATCTTTTTTCATTTGTGCAAGACCTGTTTAATTTTTTGTATTTACGTGTGGTACAGTTGCACAAGTGGTCGTAACTGTATGTACAGACAGAGCACATTCCAGTGTACATTCCATACACCACGTGCAGCACATTTGATACAAAAGGAGCAACTAGTAGTGTGTGCCAGTTTGAATTCCTTAGGTGTATTAAAATGACTGCTGCTGTTCCACATCATCAGTTGAAAACTGTTGCTACATAACTACCGCTCACAAAGGCAGCTACTATAGCAGACACTGACTTGAATATCACGTTGTCACCCCAGATGATTATGTAGGTTTACCGCACCGCCACAGGGCAAGCATCGCCCCATAAGTTCACGCGCTGTTACCCTGTACATAACTTCCGAAACAGGGAAGCATCCGAGTACCTATGTACGTCGTATATATGCTAACCACGCCCCCTCTCTGAGGCCCTACCTGCGCATGCGCAAGTATTTAATTTCAGATTCCTCAATGATTCGAAGAATCCGA